CTAAAGACTTGTGGACAATTTCTTGTAGGATTTTTGGCGCTTCTTGTGAGGACTCGACTCTTGCACTTGTGTAAAATACTGAGGTGTAGAGTGTTGTGTGTGTGTTCTCCGGGTGTGGGGCGTCTTGGCGCCTCCTTCTCCGGGTGTGGGGCGTCTTGGCGCCTCCTTCTCCGGGTGTGGGGCGTCTTGGCGCCTCCTTCTCCGGGTGTGGGGCGTGTTGGCGCCTCCTTCTCCGGGTGTGGGGCGTCTTGATGCTTCCTTCTCCGGGTGTGGGGCGTCTTGATGCTTCCTTCTCCGGGTGTGGGGCGTCTTGATGCTTCCTTCTCCGGGTGTGGGGCGTATTGGTGCTTTCTTCTCCGGGTGTGGGGCGTCTTGGCGCCTCCTTCTCCGGGTGTGGGGCGTCTTGGCGCCTCCTTCTCCGGGTGTGGGGCGTGTTGATGCTTCCTTCTCCGGGTGTGGGGCGTCTTGGCGCCTCCTTCTCCGGGTGTGGGGCGTCTTGGCGCCTCCTTCTCCGGGTATGGGGCGTCTTGGCACCTCCTTCTCCGGGTGTGGGGCGTCTTGGCGCCTCCTTCTCCGGGTGTGGGGCGTCTTGGCGCCTCCTTCTCCGGGTGTGGGGCGTCTTAATGCCTCCTCGCAGCAATCTCCGGTGACCTGAGAATTCTCAGTATTTTTGCGACATGTGTGAGCACTGTCGCGTGACACGCCATAGCTAAGGTCAGACTGTAAGTCTCACTCCTAGCACCTCTCAGCTCCCCCTAGCACCTCTCAGCTCCCCCTAGCACCTCTCAGCTCCCCCTAGCACCTCTCAGCTCCCCCTAGCACCTCTCAGCTCCCCCTAGCACCTCTTAGCTCACCCTAGCACCTCTCAGCTCCCCCTAGCATCTCACAGCTTTCCCTAGCACCTCTCAGCTCCCCCTAGCATCTCTCAGCTCCCCACTAGCACCTCTCAGCTCCCCCCTAGCACCTCTCAGCTCCCCCCCTTCCATCTCACAGCTTTCCCTAGCACCTCTCAGCTGCCCCTAGCACCTCTCAGCTCCCCCTAGCATCTCTCAGCTCACCCCCTAGCATCTCTCAGCTCCCCCCCCTAGCATCTCTCAGCTTCCCCCTAGCATCTCACCCCTCCTTCTCATGCCCTCACAGAACCCTACTCTCTGGTTCTCAAACGAGCTTCCCTCTCTCCCATGTTTCTCAAACCTCCTTGTCCATGCACTCCCAGGCACTCCTAGCTCCCCTCCCAGGCTCTCAGGGGTGGGGGGAGGCCCTCCCACTCCCATGGTCTCCCAGCAAGACTTGGGAGAGTAGGAAATATGTGGTGTGTGGTTGGCAGGAGCGTTGGTAATTGTATTAGTGATGGGAGTAATCTGCCTTACTCTCATAATGTCCGATATTGATCCCCCCCTTACCCCTCTTTACCCCCCCCTTCCCCCCTTACCCTTCCCCCTTACACCCCCCTTACCCACACCACCAATCACGCCACCCCTCACAACCCCCTCTTCCTCCATCTCTTCCTTCAACTCATTCTCTTCTCCAACACGAATTTAAGGCAAATCCTGCCTTACCCATCATAGCCTAGTTTAACCTAACCTAACCTAACCTAACCTAACCTTACCCATCATAGCCTAGTTTAACCTAACCTAACCTAACCTAAGCTAACCTAACCTAACCTAACCTAACCTAACCTTACCCATCATAGCCTAGTTTAACCTAAGCTAACCAATGCGGTACAACTCCTCGACAGGACGATTAGGAAAGCTGGGTGGACTGCACATTCCTTGACTGGCGAAAGGCATATGTGACATTCTCCGCCTGGGGAGACCGCTCTCCACGTCGGGGACACATGCTGGGGCTAATTCGCCCGAGTACTCTTAAAGCAAGTCGTAAGCGTAGTCTTAAGACGAGTCGTAAGAGGAGTCGTAAAAGTAAACGAACTCGTAATGAAGGGTTGTGAATAGCGGAGGAATGAGGGGGGGGCGGCTAGGCTTGGGATGGGAATGACTTTGCTAGAAGGGAAATAACAGGGGGAAAGCGCCCAGTCATTGCGACTATATAGCATTAGGAAGGGATCAGGATAAGGATTTGGGATGGGACGGGGGGAAAGGAATGGTGCCTAATCACTTGTGGACGGTCGGGGATTGAACGCCGACCTGCATGAAGCGAGACCGTCCAGCCCAAGTGATTGGGCAGACGTTGCTCGGAGAAATCGACCCGTTTGCTATAGATATTCGTAGTTGATGTGAATATTTAGGGGAAATAAGGGAATGATAAGAATAATTAAGAAAGGTGACTGGAAACAGCATCTACCATAATTCGAGCAGATAAATGAATAAAGAAAAAAAGTATAACAAAGAAGATACAAATAAAGTCTTAAATTTATCAACACCCAACACAACAGAACACAAATGGATATCATTTGGTGAAGTTTAGATTTAAGGAAAGACCTGGGTAAATACTGGTTTAGATACAAGGATGCTTGATTTATGGAACAACTTAGTGGGTTACATAATGGACGGAAGGTCGCTGCCGAGTGTTCCAAAATACATATATTTTATAATCATTCATAATTCATAATTTTGGGTTGGATATTATAAAGAGGAGATGCCTCTTGTCGGCGTCACAGCCCGGCGTCACAGCCCGGCGTCACAGCCCGGCGTCACAGCCCGGCGTCACAGCCCGGCGTCACTGCCCGGCGTCACAGCCCGGCCAACGTCACAGTCCGGCGTCACAGGCCGGCGTCACAGCCCGGCGTCACAGCCCGGCGTCACAGCCCGGCGTCACAGCCCGGCGTCACAGCCCGGCGTCACAGCCCGGCGTCACAGCCTGGCGTCAATATCTCTCAGAATGTTTGGTAATATGTTTACTGCTTGTGATGTGTGTCTATGTATGTATTAACACGATGTACTGAACGGGGTGAGAATAGCTTCAGCTACCTCATCCCTTTGTGTGTATTTTACCTCAATAAACTTATTTCAATTTCAATGTCAATTTCAATTTCTCACACCATGTTCGGTGCTGACACACTGAGTGCTCAAATGAGCCATAGAGATATTAGAAAGAATTTTTTCAGTGTCAGAGTAGTAGACAAATGGAATGCATTAGGCAGTGATGTGGTGGAGGCTGACTCCATACACAGTTTCAAATGTGGATATGATAGAGCCCAGTAGGCTCAGGAACCTGTACACCAGTTGATTGACGGTTGAGAGGCGGGGCCAAAGAGCCAGAGCTCAACCCCCGCAAGCGCAACTAGGTGCGCGCGAGTGCGATCGTGTGTATCGGATCGGCCATTTATTTCTGTCATTAGTATTGCTATTATGCACCCGGCATTGGCTGTTGCAACGTAGTCGCCTCAAGCTCCCCTGGATCTCTTGTGAGCCCCTGGCTGTTTGTGTGGAGCCCCCTGGCTGTGTGTGTGGAGCCCCCTGGCTGTGTGTGTGTGTGGAGCCTCCCTGGCTGTGTGTGTGGAGCCCCAGGCTGTGTATGGAGCCCCCTGGCTGTGTGTGTGGAACCCCCTGGCTGTGTGTGTGTGTAGCCTCCCTGGCTGTGTGTGTGTGTAGCCTCCCTGGCTGTGTGTGTGTAGCCTCCCTGGCTGTGTGTGTGTAGCCTCCCTGGCTGTGTGTGTGTAGCCTCCCTGGCTGTGTGTGTGGAGCCCCCTGGCTGTGTGTGTGGAGCCCCCTGGCTGTGTGTGTGGAACCCCCTGGCTGTGTGTGTGTGGAGCCTCCCTGGCTGTGTGTGTGGAGCCTCCCTGGCTGTGTGTGTGTGTGGAGCCTCCCTGGCTGTGTGTGTGGAGCCTCCCTGGCTGTGTGTGTGTGTGGAGCCTCCCTGGTTGTGTGTGTGGAGCCTCCCTGGCTGTGTGTGTGGAGCCTCCCTGGCTGTGTGTGTGGAGCCTCCCTGGCTGTGTGTGTGTGTGGAGCCCCCTGGCTGTGTGTGTGGAGCCCCCTGGCTGTGTGTGTGGAACCCCCTGGCTGTGTGTGTGGAGCCTCCCTGGCTGTGTGTGTGGAGCCCCCTGGCTGTGTGTGTGGAGCCCCCTGGCTGTGTGTGTGGAGCCCCCTGGCTGTGTGTGTGTGTGGAGCCCCCTGGCTGTGTGTGTGTGTGGAGCCTCCCTGGCTGTGTGTGTGTGTGGAGCCTCCCTGGCTGTGTGTGTGTGTGGAGCCTCCCTGGCTGTGTGTGTGGAGCCTCCCTGGCTGTGTGTGTGGAGCCTCCCTGGCTGTGTGTGTGGAGCCTCCCTGGCTGTGTGTGTGGAGCCCCCTGGCTGTGTGTGTGGAGCCTCCCTGGCTGTGTGTGTGTGTGGAGCCTCCCTGGCTGTGTGTGTGTGTGGAGCCCCCTGGCTGTGTTCTACCACACACCTCCAACCCCCCCCCCCCCCCTCAGTGTTCCAAGAACTAACGCCACAGAATACTTAAGAGTTTAATCAGAATTCCTGCTTCATATTTCCTAAGTGGAGGAACGAGGGGAAAATCTTGGAAAATTGTTCTCTTTGAGTTGTGGAAGTTGGAATTTGCTCTTCGCCAGATTAATAAAACCTTGCGAAGCTCTGCAGCTTGAGAAACATTATATATATATATATATATATATATATATATATATATATATATATATATATATATATATATATATATATATATGGTTAGGTTAATATTTAAAGCATAAATCTTCTCTACTTATTTCCTCTTGCTTGAGCTTTAGTACTCACCTAGTTGTGCTTGCGGGGGTTGAGCTCTGGCTCTGGGGAGTGGGCTGGGTTGCATCCTGGGGAGCCGTTTGGGCAGCAGAAATGATACAGAAAATAGGCCAGGAGTCATTACACCACCGATGGTCGGGAAAGGCGGGGTCCAAGAGCTAATAGCGCGATTCTGCAACCACGAAAAGAGGAATGCACATGCATGCATATTTTTATATCTATGTAGAAAGTACAGAGTGTGTCAAGAACTATAGCGACCCTGGACTATATGAAGGGGGAGTAGATTATTATAAATGCTGATATATCTTAAAGCCTAACACTTGGGCTGGCTCCTCCTGGCCTATGATACTCCCCAACCACCACACGTGTCATCCTGGGAAGGTAGGCGAGGATATCCCCCAAACATCTACCGCGAACAGACAGACATTCACTCTTCTAGACATGACAGAAGGCAAGTGGATTCAAGAACATGTACACTAGTCAATCACATACACCAAGGCTCAAGAGGTGAAGGTCAACCCTAGATGCACTGCTGGGGTACTACACACACACACACACACACACACACACACACACACACACACACACACACACACACACACACACACACACACACACACACGTTGGACCAAAGAGCCAGAGCTCAAGCCCCGCAAACACAACTAGGTGAGTACACACACACACACAAACACACACACGCACTTCTTAAACAAACCAATTGCTTCACATAAGCAATTGGCAATAATACTATAATTCACTGCAGTGTTAAAAGCAATACAATTATCATAACACGAAGTTAGAAAACTATTAATAAAAATAATGATTTTAAAACATGAAAGTAATGATGCAGGTAAAATTATTTAACGCTGAGAAAGTAGAACAAAAATTATATATATGCGATTTTATGAGTTGGTGTTGTTGGTGGGATGTTGGTGTTGTTGGTGGGGTGTTGGTGTTGTTGGTGAGGTGTTGGTGTTGTTGGTGGATTGTTGGTGTTGTTGGTGAGGTGTTGGTGTTGTTGGTGGGGTGTTGGTGTTGTTGGTGAGGTGTTGGTGTTGTTGGTGGAGTGTTGGTGTTGGTGGTGAGGTGTTGGTGTTGTTGGTGAGGTGTTGGTGTTGTTGGTGGATTGTTGGTGTTGTTGGTGAGGTGTTGGTGTTGTTGGTGGGGTGTTGGTGTTGTTGGTGTTGGTGGTGGGGTGTTGGTGTTGGTGAGGTGTTGGTGTTGTTGGTGGAGTGTTGGTGTTGGTGGTAGAGTGTTGTGTTGCTGGTTGAGAATGGTGGAGAATATCGTCCAGCGATACAATGAAAGGTTGTTGTATAACTTAAAGGTTGTTGTATAACTTAAAGGTTGTTGTATAACTTAAAGGTTGTTGTATAACTTAAAGGTTGTTGTATAACTTAAAGGTTGTTGTATAACTTAAAGGTTGTTGTATAACTTAAAGGTTGTTGTATAACTTAGAAATAAACACTATATGGATTTACTACACGTTAAAACACATCTATACAAATAATACAATTTATACATATAATTCACAATTATGCATAGAATAATTAGTTTTTCTGGGACAGGAAGCCTGTGTGTATATAAACTTTAGGTTTATATCGAGGTCCCCCCCCCCACAGGATGCAACCCACTTACAACAGTGGGCTATCTCCAGGGTCCCTATTTGCTGCTAGGTGAACAGAGGCATTAGGCAAAAGGGAACGTGCCCAATCCTTTCTTTCACACCACGTAATTGAACCCGGGATCCCCGATTCTCCACCTATCCTTAGACTAGCCTCATCCAACCTGCGCTCGACCTCAGATACACATGCGTTAATTGTAACGCGGTTACCTTACCTTGAGGTTACCTTGAGGTGCTTCCGGGACTTAGCGTCCCCGCGGCCCGGTCGTCGACCTGGCCTCCTGGTGTGCTGGACTGATCAACCAGGCTGTTGGACGCGGCTGCTCGCAGCCTGACGTATGAGTCACAGCCCGGTTGATCAGGTATCCTTTGGACGGTCCGTAATCAAAATTTATATTCCCCCCCCCAAATACTGGATACATTAATATTATTACATACGGGAATGTGCCGAAGAGCTATAGGCCTAAGTTAGGTGAGGTTAGGTGGTTAGGTTTTGATAGTAGTTATTGGTATTTAGAGTACGTGGGTGAGGCATTTAGAGAGGCGGGGTTCGAGCCCCCCTCTCTAAATGCTCGCGAACGAAGCACTAATCGAGAAGAGTACAAACGTCATCAGTTGTGAGTCGTGTAATATGCAAAATGCTAACAACAACAGCTTAGTTGTCCCGTTCCGGGGTGTTAATCGCCAGCTTGTTCCCTCGCACAGCTTTCCATTTTTTTTTTTAAATCTGATCTTGACAAAAACAAAATTTGAACAATACATGAGAAAACTGAGCGTAATCTAGTGAGTACTCTCCAGTAATTTCCGGCTCGACTCTAGACAATTAGACTTGACATTTTCACTTTAATTTTTTTTTTAAAGTTTCGGTTCATGGTGTTTGGAGTAGAGAAGTTGGGGAATGAGTAGAGGAGTAGAGGAATATTCTACGCTGCTCTACGCCACTCTACGACCGGACTCTAAGCGGTACTCTACACTATTCTACGCAGCACTTTATACTGCTCTATACAGCAGTCTATATAGCACTTTGTATCAATCTATGCCACTCTATGGAGCACTGTTGTTTCATTCTGGTGGTATCTGAGCCCTATCTATCTCCACATATCTATCTTTATCTGTATCTCTCTATATATTTATCTCTATTTGTATCTTTATTAAATTGAATTTAGTTATAAATTTTCGATTAATATTTATATTAACGCATTTAGGATCACCAGAGCGACCCTGGACTATATGAAGGGGAGTACAGAGTGTGTCAAGAACTATAGCGACCCTGGACTATATGAGAGTACAGAGTGTATCAAGAACTATAGTTAGGTGATGCTAAAAGTCCCCATCACACAGGACAGTTAGTGATACATGACCAGGTGATCAGTAGTCAACACTGACAAACTCTGGCTACATTATGAGGATATCCTCAAGAACACCAGAGTGGACAAGATAGCAATGACACAAACAAGTCCCCATCCCGCACGATTGTTAGTACGCGTTATAAACTCTACGGAAAACACATCCCCGATTTCATTTAATTCCTCGAAAATCACACAATGGGATTTGGGTTACTGGCTGATATTTTTTAAAAGGCCTACTTAGGCCAACCCTCGACTATCCTGTCCATCCCCTATCCCAGACCATCCCTCCCTCCCCCACCTGCAAATTTCGGTGAAGTAGAGAGAGACGAGGGTAGAGAGAGAGCCTCATTTATATGTTTCAGATTGATTGAATTACCTCAAATGACATTTGCTGACCTCAGATGGTGACATATTGACCTCATATAACCCTGATGTGACCTCGGATGTCTTCTCAGCTCACGAGACCTACGGGTGCCCTCGAGGAGGAGCAGGACCTTAAACCTTTCCCTTTCTGTGTCTCAGGTCTGAGCGTGAAGGTGGAGGATGAGAACCCAGGAGCAGCTCCCCCGCCCCCGTCCACCACCCCCACGCCCTCCAAGACGCCTACGCCCATCAGCCCGCCCCCGCCACAGGGCAAGAGGGAGCAGGAGGCCAGGGAGGAGACCTCACACCAGAAGGCCAGTTCTGCTCCTGTCTTGTCAAGCTGCCTTTATTGTTACACCCTTTATCTTTTATCGTCCGTTGTCTCTGCTTTATCCTTTTGTTCCCACTCTCGTCTTCCCTTCCTTAATCCTACTCTCTGTTTGCTCTGTTTCAAACTTATTCCTCGCATCTCTCTCTCTCTCTCTCTCTCTCTCTCTCTCTCTCTCTCTCTCTCTCTCTCTCTCTCTCTCTCTCTCTCTCTCTCTCTCTCTCTCTCTCTCTCTCTCTCTCTCTCTCTCTCTCATTTATCAAACTCAATCTCCTTTGTACTCTACACAGATGAAGCCAATAACTCCCCTCCCCCTCCCCCTCCCCCACACAGATGAAGCCAATAACTCCTCCCCCCTCCCCCCACACAGGTGAAGCCAATAACTCCTCCCCCCCTCCCCCACACAGGTGAAGCCAATAACTCCCCCCCCTCCCCCACACAGGTGAAGCCAATAACTCCCCCCTCCCCCCACACAGGTGAAGCCAATAACTCCCCCCTCCCCCACACAGATGAAGCCAATAACTCCCCCCCACACAGGTGAAGCCAATAACTCCCCCCCCCCTCCCCCACACAGGTGAAGCCAATAACTCCCCCCCCCTCCCCCACACAGGTGAAGCCAATAACTCCCCCCCCCCTCCCCCACACAGGTGAAGCCAATAACTCACCCCCTCCCCCCACACAGGTGAAGCCAATAACTCCCCCCCTCCCCCACACAGGTGAAGCCAATAACTCCCCCCTCCCCCACACAGGTGAAGCCAATAACTCCCCCCCCTCCCCCACACAGGTGAAGCCAATAACTCCCCCCCTCCCCCCACACAGGTGAAGCCAATAACTCCCCCCCCCAACACAGGTGAAGACAATAATTCCCCCCCACACAGGTGAAGCCAATAACTCCCCCCCTCCCCCACACAGGTGAAGCCAATAACTCCCCCCCTCCCCCCACACAGGTGAAGCCAATAACTCCCCCCCCCTCCCCCACACATGTGAAGCCAATAACTCCCCCCCTCCCCCCACACAGGTGAAGCCAATAACTCCTCCCCCAACACAGGTGAAGACAATAATTCCCCCCTCCTCCCCCACACAGGTGAAGCCAATAACTCCCCCCCTCCCCCACACAGGTGAAGCCAATAACTCCCCCCCCCACACAGGTGAAGCCAATAACTCCCCCCACACAGGTGAAGACAATAATTCCCCCCCCCCACACAGGTGAAGCCAATAACTCCCCCCTCCCCACACAGGTGAAGCCAATAACTCCCCCCCTCCCCCACACAGGTGAAGCCAATAACTCCCCCCTCCCCCACACATGTGAAGCCAATAACTCCCCCCCTCCCCCCACACAGGTGAAGCCAATAACTCCTCCCCCAACACAGGTGAAGACAATAATTCCCCCCCCCACACAGGTGAAGCCAATAACTCCCCCCCCTCCCCCACACAGGTGAAGCCAATAACTCCCCCCTCCTCCCCCACACAGGTGAAGCCAATAACTCCCCCCTCCCCCCACACAGGTGAAGCCAATAACTCCCCCCCCCCACACAGGTGAAGCCAATAACTCCCCCACACAGGTGAAGACAATAATTCCCCCCCCCCACACAGGTGAAGCCAATAACTCCCCCCTCCCCACACAGGTGAAGCCAATAACTCCCCCCCTCCCCCACACAGGTGAAGCCAATAACTCCCCCCCTCCCCCACACATGTGAAGCCAATAACTCCCCCCCTCCCCCCACACAGGTGAAGCCAATAACTCCTCCCCCAACACAGGTGAAGACAATAATTCCCCCCCCCACACAGGTGAAGCCAATAACTCCCCCCCCTCCCCCACACAGGTGAAGCCAATAACTCCCCCCCTCCTCCCCCACACAGGTGAAGCCAATAACTCCCCCCTCCCCCCACACAGGTGAAGCCAATAACTCCCCCCCCCCACACAGGTGAAGCCAATAACTCCCCCCACACAGGTGAAGACAATAATTCCCCCCCCCCACACAGGTGAAGCCAATAACTCCTCCCTCCCCACACAGGTGAAGCCAATAACTCCCCCCCCTCCCCCACACAGGTGAAGCCAATAACTCCCCCCTCCCCCCACACAAGTGAAGCCAATAACTCCCCCCCCTCCCCCACACAGGTGAAGCCAATAACTCCCCCCCCCCACACACAGGTGAAGCCAATAACTCCCCCCTCCCCCACACAGGTGAAGCCAATACTCCCCCCTCCCCCACACAGGTGAAGCCAATAACTCCCCCCTCCCCCCACACAGGTGAAGCCAATAACTCCCCCCCCCTCCCCCACACAGGTGAAGCCAATAACTCCCCCCCCCCCCACACACAGGTGAAGCCAATAACTCCCCCCTCCCCCACACAGGTGAAGCCAATAACTCCCCCCCTCTCCTCACACAGGTGAAGCCAATAACTCCCCCCCTCCCCCCACACAGGTGAAGCAGAGACGCTCGCGGACCAACTTCACGCTGGAACAACTGAACGAACTGGAGCGGCTCTTCGACGAGACCCACTACCCGGACGCCTTCATGAGGGAGGAACTCTCCCAGCGGCTGGGGCTCTCAGAGGCTAGAGTGCAGGTGGGTGAAAGGGAGTTGGTGAAGTTGGGTATCCAATTTCTCTCTCTCAGTATCTTGTATATCGAGATCAGGTCTCTTTTTGTTTCTCCTCTTTCCACCTGAAAGTGGCCTCGATAAAAACAGAAAGCAGGCGGCTTGTCAAAGGTCCCCCCATTTGTCCTGATAATTTTTTTTTCAAGCAAGATTTTAAAGATTAGCAGAGTTTTGGCATCTATGGCTTCGACGGGTAGGCGGTTCCATAGGTTTATAACCCTGTGGGTGGAAAAGCATCTCCGGTGTTCAGTCCTACACTGTGGCTTGTTGAGGTCTTGAAACTATTGGTTTTTTGTTACATCTGACCTTTTAAAGAAGTTGTCTGGATAAATATCCTCCAAACTGCTGAGTATTTTAAAAGTTTCGATGAGACCAGCCTTGTCATGTCTGGTATTAGAGTGTTGATAGCCTTGAGGCCCACAACCGTTCCTGGTACGAGAGTTGCCTTAGTTCTGGCATGCTTTTTATTGCCCGGTGTTGCACTTTCTCCGAAGCAGGTATGACCGTCTGAAGAGAAGGTCTCCATGCTTGGACACAATAACGCAAGTGGGGGTATGAGAGCTGCAGTTTGTATAGATCTGATGTTGTCCTTAGACCAGGCCACTATACGTCCTCCTGTCTGTTTTGTTTTATTTGGTGTGGGAGGAGCATCAGGGTGGCTGAGAAGGCCGGGTCAGGGGAATAAGGGTTAAGAAGGGAATCAGTACAGGGTGAACCCCGCCGGTAACCGCAGCTTCAATCTTGACCCCCGCCCTCACCCCCTCTTTCTCCCCCCCCCCTCTCCCCTCCAACCCCCTGCCTCCTACTCCCCCTTCCCCTCCACACCCTCCCCAACACAGGAACTTGGAACGAACCAGGAAGCAAAAATTCCCCCTCTTCCCAATGGGTGAGCCCCCCCTCCCCCATACATCCCCCTGCCCCATTACCCCTTCCCCCATCATTGCGATGCGGGGCGGCCCACCACCGGATGATCCAAACCCGGGCCACGGGTAACTTATTCCCCCATTTCCCTGCCACTCCCCCCCCCTGTCTTTATTTACGGCGCAGGGAGGCCGGAGACCTGAATATTGCACCCCCTCTCTCCTTCACCCCCTCCTTCAGGAGACCCACACCCCCGCCCCAACCCCTCCTCCTCCACCAGAAGACCCACACCCCCGCCCCTACATCACCCTCTCTTACCCCAGCACGCCACCCCTGCCCCCCCCCCCCCCCGGGAGGCCATCCGGGTAGAGGGGGGGAGGGGAGGACGACGGGGCCTATTCCCCGGGGAAATACAAATATGCGGAACTTTTGGAGTATTTAAATGTGGTTGGCGTGCAGGAGTCTTGGAGAGGTCATGTGCTGGGTCACCTGAGAGGGGGAGGGGGGTCATGTGGGGGTGAGGGTGAGGGGTGGGGTGTGGGGGTCATGTGGGGGTGAGGGTGAGGGGTGGGGTGTGGGGGTCATGTGGGGGTGAGGGTGAGGGGTGGGGTGTGGGGGTCATGTGGGGGTGAGGGTGAGGGGTGGGGTGTGGGGGTCATGTGGGGGTGAGGGTGAGGGGTGGGGTGTGGGGGTCATGTGGGGGTGAGGGTGAGGGGTGGGGTGTGGGGGTCATGTGGGCGATGATGGGTCAGGTGGCGGGTCATGTTGAGGGTAGGAGGTTAGGTAACAGTCATGCGGGAGGTGGTAGGTTGATTGATTGATGCCACCCAAGAGGTGGCACGGGCATGAATAGCCCCGTAAAGGAGAGGTGGTTGGGCTTGTGATGGGTCATGTGGATGGTGGTGGTGGTGGCACCGAGGCAGGGTCAGTGTAGCCTCGTGCTCGACACTCTCAGGGTCATTACAAACCATTATGGCGACCATCGGGGCAACACCGAGGGCAACCACACCTATCAATGAATATTGCAACCCATCCCTTATCTCCCCCCCCCGGGCCCTGCTAACCCAAGCAACACCTGTCCTCGACCCAAGTCCATTCCATCCAACTGTCGACCCCAAAGATGCATTCATCAATTTTAACATGCTGTTCATTCATAACAGGAATTTTCTCAAATATATATGAATATTATAGTGTATTAGCATATTGTACACATGTAGGCATAGGATAGGTTAGGTTAGGTGTGTATGTTCTGTTGGCGATTATTTGTATTTGTAGTACGTGGGTGAAGCATTTACAGCGTTGTGGTTCGAACAAGAGTCGTCAGTGAAGCACTTGTTCCGGAAGTGTTCGAACGTCATCAGTTGTGAGTCGCGTGTAAACCGTTTTTCATTCATAAACAGCGGGGGGGGGGGTGCGATCGATGTCCAAAGGGTTTGGAAAATGCGGAGGAGAGGAAGTAGAATGAGAAGAATTTTGTTTTTTATTTATTTTATTATGTTTTATTCTATTTTATCGTGTTTTTTTGTGTAAGTATAGATCGGGTCTGGGAGGGTCCACTCTTCTGGGTCATCTGGCAGTTCGTTCAGTCTTGGTGGTCTTGGGAAAGTCTGATCGTGGATGTACCTGATTACTTTTGGTTGGAGAGTGAGTCTTGTGGTTCTGTTCGGCGGCTCTTGGATCCCGTCGTCGCTGGCTGCCTTGATGGCCTCTTGGCGGCTCCTTGCGGTCCAGGACATCGAGGTGCTCCATGCGGTCCAGGACATCGAGGTGCTCCTTGCGGTCCAGGACATCGAGGTGCTCCATGCGGTCCAGGACATCGAGGTGCTCCATGCGGTCCAGGACATCGAGGTGCTCCTTGCGGTCCAGGACATCGAGGTGCTCCTTGCGGTCCAGGACATCGAGGTGCTCCTTGCGGTCCAGGACATCGAGGTGCTCCTTGCGGTCCAGGACATCGAGGTGCTCCTTGCGGTCCAGGACATCGAGGTGCTCCTTGCGGTCCAGGACATCGAGGTGCTCCTTGCGGTCCAGGACATCGAGGTGCTCCTTGCGGTCCAGGACATCGAGGTGCTCCTTGCGGTCCAGGACATCGAGGTGCTCCTTGCGGTCCAGGACATCGAGGTGCTCCTTGCGGTCCAGGACATCGAGGTGCTCCATGCGGTCCAGGACATCGAGGTGCTCCATGCGGTCCAGGACATCGAGGTGCTCCTTGCGGTCCAGGACATCGAGGTGTTCCTTGCGGTCCAGGACATCGAGGTGTTCCTTGCGGTCCAGGACATCGAGGTGCTCCATGCGGTACAGCAGCTTTCTTGCTACGTAGCTCAGTCTGATGTTTATGTGGATCATGTTGAGGGCTCTGGTCGGTCCTCAAGCTGTCAGCCAGCGACCAGGTTCCCCGCAAGGCGGAGTGTTTAGTTTTGGGCCCGTTGGATCTTAACTTTGTTGGTGTTGGTAGTGAGGTTCAAGGTTGGGGGCGGTGTAAGGGTACTCGAGGCTAGGTCTTGTGATCATCCTGTACAGGTGAAGCTTGACGTGGGATGGGGGCTTGTCTGAAGCGGAAGAGCTTCGTCAGGGGAAACCCTTGGCTATCGCTCTCCTCTCACAGACGTTCTGGGTGGTGTTGAGCAGTCTGTTGAAGGTATTCCCGAGGCCTGTGTTGGAGTTGGTGATTGGTTATGGGATCCTTTCCCCCTAATTCGCACCCCGCCTTCGTTTTCTATTGTATTTCTTATTCCATGCAACCGCTTGTTCTTATCTGGATCTTGTCCCGATTTGTGGCGAGTATTTCCTTTCTCAGTTCGCAGTCTGAGCGAGTTCTACATTTCCTTTCCTTGTGACTATCGCGTGCTTGCTTGCTTGCTTGCTTGCTTGAGTTGGAGTTTATTACGTGGGTGACGTCGACTGCATACAAAACTTTGCATCTTTGTATCATCGACTTTGTATCACCACATACAAAATTCTCAGGGGAATTGACAGGGTGGACAAGGATGGATTATTTAACACTGGTGGCACATGCACAAGGGGACACAAGTGGAAGCTGAGTACCAAAATGAGCCACAGAGACATTAGAAAGAACTTTTTCAGTGTCAGAGTAGTTAGTAAATGGAATGCATTAGGCAGTGATGTGGTGGAGGCTGACTTCATACACAGTTTCAAATGTAGATATGATAGAGCTCGAGAAGCTCAGGAATCTGTACACCAGTTGATTGACGGTTGAGAGGCGGGACCAAAGAGCCAGAGCCCAACCCCCGCAAACACAACTAGTTGAGTACACACACACACACACACACACACACACACACACACACACACACACACACACACACACACACACACACACACACACACACACACACACACACACACACTTTTCTCCCTTGGGTTCTAAAGGAAGGAGCAAGAGAACTGAGCCTACCACTCTCCATAGTGTATAACAAATCACTGGCAACAGGGGAACTGCCAGATATTTGGAAAGCAGCTAACGTAGTCCCGATATACAAGAAAGGGGATAGACAGGAGGCACTGAACTACAGGCCAGTGTCCCTAACCTGCATACCATGCAAGCTGATGGAGAAGATTGTGCGAAAAAAACTAGTGGAGCATCTGGAGCGAAGGAACTTTGTAACACAGCATCAACATGGGTTCAGGGATGGCAGGTCCTGCCTCACAGGGTTACTTGAATTCTACGACCAGGCAACAAAAATAAGGCAAGAAAGAGAAGGGTGGGCAGACTGCATATTTTTGGATTGTCAGAAAGCCTTTGATACAGTGCCACACAAGAGGCTAGTGCGAAAGTTGGAGATGCAGGCTGGAGTGAGAGGGAAGGTACTCCGGTGGATAGAGGAATACCTAAGCAACAGGAGACAACGAGTCTGTGTGAGGGGTGAGGTCTCAGATTGGCGAGACGTCACAAGTGGAGTCCCGCAGGGGTCAGTCCTTGGACCTATACTGTTTCTGGTATATGTAAATGATCTGCCAGAGGGTATAGATTCGTTCCTCTCAATGTTTGCCGACGATGCAAAAATTATGAGGAGGATTGAAACAGAGGATGATAGTAGGAGGCTACAAGATGACCTGGATAGACTGAGTGAATGGTCCAACCAATGGCT